TATATTATTACTATTATATTATATTATATATATATATATATGTGTGTGTGTGTGTGTGTGTGTGTGTGTGTGTATGTATGTATGTATATGTTGTGTGTGTGTGTGTGTGTGCATATATATATGTATATATATATATACGGTAAGTTCGCGATCTAAAAGGTTATTATTAGAATTGCATATGTTTTCGTCTGTGACCGTGTATGCTCAGTAATACTATTAATAAACTACTCTATGACTAATGTGAGCCGATCATCTTGCTGTTGTATTGATGGTGACAGCATCAACAATTGCCTTCGTAGCATAGTACCTCCACTTACATTTACTATTGTTCCGGGGCAACGTATGGAAACAGTTTGTTCACTCGGTGTGGTTGAAGGCTGGTATTCCATGATGCTTGATTGGTCTTGAGCACGTTTTTTAACTGCCTCCACACCCTTTTGACGACCTGATCCCTGATTTCGCTTCGTTCCGTCTTTATTCATCCCTTTTTCTTTTAGCTCGCTCGGCACTTCTTTTGACGCTATAGGGCCGCCAGAGCCTTTTTGGCGACGTGAACCATTCTTGCTGTGGCCCTTTAGTTTCCCCGTAGCAGTTTTGTCCGACATACTCACAAGAAGTAGGTACAAAGGACTGACACAACTACTCGTCGAATGTGCCTAAATACATGCCAAAGTCTATTTATCTTTTTAATAAAAGTGTGTAAATATATACGACATGAACGAAAATTGTGTAAGTACAAGGGCTAGGTTACGCGCCAAAATCTCAAATCACCACTGAAATTAGCTAATTACAACCTGACTTGAACTTTAAATAGCATCTCCAAATGATTGACCTAATAACTACAGACTGCATCCGCTGTATCAGTATAGATATAGTCTCCTTGTTGACTGAATCATATAAATATATATATAACTACCCAATGAGGAGCTATGATGTATCTCTATTCAGACATAACGTCTAGCATCTCCAATGATTGACCTAATATTTATAACTACAGAGTACAGAGTCTACAGACTGATGAATTCATACACTGTACAGGAGACACCCTCTGGTGGTCCCTGACTGAGTCTGAAAGTATCTACATACCTATTTGTGCATTTATTTTACTAATCTCTAATAAGAGTCTAAAGTCAGTCACTCTAAAAAGTCTAAACCCAGTTTTTTTTCTTTAAAAACAAATACCTCAGTCCTGATGACCTGATGTGGACTCCTCATCACTCATCAGACCTCAGGTCACAACTCACAACTCACAGACAACAGTCCAAAAAGCCAGGACAGTTTTTATTGGTTGTTGACAACGTGATAAATTTAGGGTATGAAGTCGATCTTTGCTCAAACAGATATTACTCTTGCTCTATTATATGGGGTATCTATATTCTATTTCGTGGATGAACTGAATGATGAATCTGGCTGCTTTATAGTGATGGTACTGATACTATGGAAAACTGCTTGAAAACATGAAAATTGTGGAAGAGTGTTTTGTTTTTTGTTTTTTGTTTTTTAAAAATAATTATGAAACATAACCCCCCGCCCCCGGCCCCTGCTTGGCGGAGTTAGCGAAGCTCGAGATAAAACATAAATACTATGCAGATTGTTCATGCATAGACTCTCTCTCTCTCGCTTCTTGTTGTGACTCTCTTCTTCTTGTGTGTGTGGAGTTGTAGACTGTAGAGTGTCAGACTGTCAGCGGCTCCGCTGTCAGCTGTCAGTGGCTCAGTGCAGACTGCAGACTGTAGACTAAAGGGTGCACTGCAGACTCGCGGTCTCACGGCCGACCGGAAACTTGAAAAGTCGGTGAAACTGAAAAGTGAAACTGTGAAAACTCTGTTCTCCTCCACAAGAACTCACAAGAAGTCTCGACTTTCGAGTCTCAACTCTCAACTATCAAGCCTCAACTCTAGATAAGTCTCAACCCTCAAGCCTCAACTCTAGATAAGTCTCAACCCTCAAGCCTCAACTCTAGATAAGTCTCAACCCTCAAGCCTCAAGACCTCAACTCTCAACTCTCAACTCTCAGTTCGAACCTCATCTCTCAACAACTCACTCAAGTCTCAAGTCTCAAGTCTCAAGTTTCGGACTCTCGGCACGTCTGTTATGATTCAAAGAATACTGATGTGATGTAAATATGACTCTTTCATATAAAACAGTCCGCTGCCGTCTGCACTCTGCACTCTGCACTCTGCAGTCTGCAGGGCAGTGCTAGAATCTGGAGTCTATATTAGAGAAAGCTATACCTATATTTTGCAACTACTTTTGTTAATGCTCGACCTGGATCAAAGATCTGATGAATACACTCAATGGAGTGTTTACTCTGTGTACACGTGTGTGTATACGTGCGTGTATATACACGTGTGTGTGTGTATGTGTGTGTGTGTGTGTGTGTGTGTGTGTGCGTGTGTGTGTGTGTGTTTGTGTGTGTGAACACGCTGTCGCCGATATTCGGATACTGTCAAGGGCACGGTGGCCACCGTTAATAATTGAACAACTAAGATTTTGTCAGAGCAGGTTATATGGTCTGTCTCATGGGTTGTGCCGCCGTGTTCACTGACTGACAGAATACATTATTGAAGTCTGAGCTGTAGGTTGGACGAGATATGGATTCGAGGAGACATTCAAGCGACTCAGGAAATAAGAAACTTGTGCGCTAGGGATCAAAGTTTGGTAGTGGAATACTATGTATATCGTGGCTGCTACCAATATAATATATCCTTTTTTTGGCACTTATTGCACAAGATTATCCTAAAAATACAATAATATGTACTAAATGCAAATCCTCAATTCAATTTCAAAATCCACTGTGCGCTCGTTTAAATAACAAGCTAAGGTGAAGAATTCATGTAAGGGCATTTTTCACTTTTACTATCTATTTTACAGGGATATGTAGATGAATTTCAGCGTATGTATCCACTATATATATATATATATATATATATATATATATATATATATATATATATATATATATATATATATATATATATATATATATGTATATATATTGTATGTATATAATATAAATATATGTATATCCTGTATTATATATATACATATATATATATGTGTGTGTGTGTGTGTGTGTGTGTGTGTGTGTGTGTGTGTGAATGTGTGTGTGAATGTGTGCGTGTGCGTGTGTGTTTGTGTACGTATGTGTGTTTGTGTGAGCGTATGTGGGTGCGGGTGGGTATGGGTGTGTGAGTGGGTGGCTGGGTGTGTATTTGTTGACGGGTCGATGAATGCGGGTGTAGGTTAGAGCGTGTGGTGTGTGTGTGTTTTCTTGCGTCTCGCATATATGTGTGAGAGAGAGTGTGTGTGTGTGTGCATGTTGATAAATAAATATGTAGATATATATATATATATATATATGTTATATAAGTAGGTGTGTATGAGGGCATTGTTGTATATCTGTATTGTATGTAAATCTACACTGTACGTCTATCCTTCTGAACTAATAACCTATATATCCGAATATAGTCATATACGAAGGCATATAAGTATATTTGTACATTCTGTTATACATACTATACACATCCACCAATGCACTCGTACACACCTACGTATAAAATATATAAATTCACATGTTTATATATTAGCACGTACACACACACACACACACACACACACACACACACACACACACACGACACACACACACACACACACACACACACACACACACGACGACACACACACAC